TGAAGAATTTCGGCCGATCACAGAATTCCCTCCAATTTTTACTGTGAGATATTTGATCTATTCTATCAGCAAAAATTGTAATTATTTGGTTCGTAATGCTACTTCATCAAATTTTTGGCGACGAGATACGAGGACGGTCAAAAACAAAGAACATTGTTTATTTCGGAGTTAATATTCAGCGTTTTGCTGAAGACTATAAAATCTTACGCATTTGTTCAAATAGCATAAATCAAACATGTGGTATCATTTTACATCTCTTCTGTGATTAGTAGCAAAACATGTAAATTCTGACGAAACAATAAAGAATTGCGCTGTCTTGAAAATACCACAGAAACAGCACATTCCAAATCTGAGCGGGTGTGCTGTTGTTCCAAGACGTTTTTCCCAAAAGTGTAACGGGATCTGGAGTGCTCACAACCATCCATGTTTAGTACTAGGGCTGGTGTACCGAAAACAACAAAAACAATTTGGGAACTAGTCTTTTCGAGCTACAGGAGCTCGGTAAACTTAGCTAATTTTCAACGGTCAAAGTGCACATGACTTGATTTATGTATGTTTGTGGTTACTCCATTTCTCGCTCAAAATCAATATTTGGGGTAGTCCCTACTTTCAAAACTAGCATGGTTGTTTTGTTTAGGTGAAGATGTCCATAAATTCATCCAAACTTGCCCTAAATTTAGCAATTACGAAGGTGGAAATGAACATCATCTGTGTGACATTATGTTTAACTGTCTCATGCGGGCTAAAAGATGTTGACAAAATTCCATTAAGTTAGTCTTGACTGCCGTCTTATGCTGTAAAAACTAAAATTACTGTCAGTTACAGATTTAGAGATGCTCATTCAAAATATGTCGTTATGAAGAGAACTTCATGTCTTACCAGAGATCTCCACTAGATGGGTTGATTCAGCTATGTGTCACGCTGATTGCATTGAAAATGTCACGGATCCAAATTTAACTATCTCGCACAGAAATCGTTTTGCCCACGCAATATAACTCAGAATCGGTTAAGGTTAAGCTCATGATAACTGGAAATAGTGTTGTTTTCGAGGATATAAAAATTAGTTTGAGGCTTTTCATTTCCGCGCGGAAAAACCAAGCTGAACTTTGTGAAAATCGCAACATCGTCATTTGCGTCACGATATAATCTAATCAGGCACCCCGTGGTTAAATCCAGAATTCCAAGCACATTTTAGAAGTCAGCACCGTGTTCGAGTATGTTTACTACCTGTAGTTATGATGTGGAAGTTTTAAGTTAGAGTATTGAATTTTGATAACTTTGCTGACACTTTTTTTCATTTATCAGGACATGTGGATTTTACAGTAGAAGTGGAGAGAGCCTTGAGAGTTCTTGATGGTGCCATTCTGGTGTTATGTGCTGTTGGAGGGGTGCAGGTTGGTTTTGTTATATCCTTAGTAAAGAGTAAGGCATCTTGCTGTCTTTCTACAGGCTGCTCTGTATCTCCCACAGCTGTGGCTACTTCATTCCAGGTTCTCAGCTCTTGCTACATAATTATCAAGCTTTCATGACAGTACTTTTCTATTCTCAGGATGTTAGCCAGTTGAAAAGGAGCAATCAGTAAATAATTATTGACAATAATTATAACATAACCAAAGTAAAGTGCATGTTCTGATTGGTCAATTCAGCGTCCACCATTTACCTGTGGGTGTACTCTGCTGACGTGAGCAATTGTTAAGACTACTTTAGCACGTGTGCTTGTTTTTTCTGGTCACGTAAGATTTGTTGAATAAAAGAAAACTCTTTTACTACAATGTATTAATGTTATATTATAAAACAAATGGAAAATGCCACAGTGTACATCCTTGAGTCATGGATCGATGCACTTGGGAGGTTTGCTAAGCACTCAAGAAGCTAGAGTTGCACTCGGCTATTGCTTTGCTTGACTCTTACGCTTCTTTCATGCTTAACAACCTCCTGTGTACATCTATAACTCAATACTGTAAGCTGTGGTGTTTACCATTTGTTAATTAGCAGTACAGAATATTATAAGTTGAGAAATGACTGTGTAGGAGAAGTGTCGTTTGACAGGAATGAGAAAATTGCAACTCCCATAAAAAATTCTTTTTCTTTTAATTAGTATTTTTTTTAATGGTTACTTGCAACAGTCTGAGTAAAGTAATATTAACCAGGTGTCACAAGGTAACATTGTTATGATACATGAAATACTCAGTCCTTGATTTTCAGGCAAGGATTTACATAGATGTATCACCAAGCATGGATGCTTTGCAATTTAAAAATCTATGCTTTGCATCCAAAAGGCTGAAAACGCTCTTTTTTAACCAAATATCATGACTGAAAAGATAGTAGGTGCTGTCAGAGACTAGAGAATTGGGGGCTCTTACATTGCTTATCATTTTGTTTGTTTTGCTACCAGAGTCAGACACTAACAGTTAATCGTCAGATGAAGCGTTATAATGTACCCTGTATTGCCTTCATCAATAAACTCGACAGGTGAGGAATCTATTTTTTATTGGACATTTTGGTTTTCTGTAAATCCTCGAAGTAGAGCCTCCGCTAAGTGCCCCTTACAGAAGTGTCCTTGAAATTCCTATATGCAAAAAATTTCTACAAACGTCCCTCCCCACAAATTAAGTTTTCTCCGTCTTAAACAAGTAAAATTAGTTTTT